TGTGTGTGTGTGTGTGTGTGTGTGTGTGTGTGTGTGTGTGTGTGTGTGTGTGTGTGTGTAAGTAACCCAATGACACATTTTCCCAGCATTTGGTGCCTGGCAGGTGGTCGTTACTGATTCTCCACAACAGTTGGCATTTAGAAGTGACCTCAGCCTGCACACTGTGGACAGACACTACTGTGTTCATTAGAGACGTTTGTGTTCTGGTTAATAGATTTTAAAATAAGCAGGAGTTTCTGTTGGTTTCATCAGATTCAGTTCATCTCCTTCAAACATAAAACCACTTTCACTATCGAGCGCAATAAAGAGATTAAAAATAAAATCTGTGAACAGAGTAAATGTTTTCTTCTCAAACACGAGGGCATTGCTTCCGTATGTCCTGGATTAAATCTGAGGATCTGTAAATCTGGATGCACATCTTCAACAGATTAACCTTTGRAGTCCACCCAACTCGTGATGACCACCCGAGCTAATAAACAGCAAATATAAAAACAACTCTGGCAGTTTTACAGAAACTAAACTCAAATTTGATTTGGGGGAAACACAAACACAAACCAAACGGTTACAACTCCATCACTTCACAACATAAAATAATGTCAGGCTCAAACTCTGGCGTGAAGGCGACAGGTGATGTGCACTGCTTTGAGGAGTTTTAGGGGGTTTTAAGTAAATATGTTAATATGAGGTTAGATCTTGCAAATTTTATTAGCTTTTTTTTTAAATGAACTAATCTTCAAAGTTTTAGATACAAGGAAAATGTGAGATTTTTTCCAAATAGTGCTTTTTTCAATTGCCCTTCTTAAGAATTTTAAAATCTATATAGTCAGTCCCTCCTGAGCGCTTCACACATGGATTGAATGGRATAAGTACTAATCCAAGTTTTGTCCTGAATTGTTTGTCATTTTAAAACAGCTCTGTCGTTGTCTCAGGCTAAAGAAAAGTCTGTGTAAAGCTTSTCTGGGTAAAGTCCGGGTGGAAGAGTCTCAAACGTCTGGAAGAGGCTCGGAGTCGAGCTGCTGCTGCTCCACACAGGCTGTTGAAGCTTCAGATTAGGAAACGTTTCAGTGATGATTTATCCAAAAATATCTGAGTAGTTCGAGACCTCAGGAGAGATCCTGAATGACAGCAGATCTCATCTGATCTGCTGGAAGTTCTGCTGAAACCTCCTGMCTGCTGCAGCTGCTGTAACACAACAACTTAGCAACAGAAACTGATCCAAAGAAAATCAATAACGCTTAATAATCACGTCTGAGTTCAGTCCTGAACATCGGTGAACTTCCTCTTGCGGTAGTTGAGAACCAGACTGGAGGCAGTGAGCTGCGAGGCCTGACCCTTCTCCCAGCTTTGGAAGCTGTTCAGGCCGTTCTGACCGGACCTGAACAGAACTTTCTCCAGGCTGTCCAGRCGCTCCACCAGAGCAGACGTGTCCTCGTTGTAGGCGTTCTGGGAGGAGTCCATGGTTCGTCTGAACCGACCGATGAACGTCTGAAATAAGAGCAAAGTGAAGAATTCATAAACCAGGTGTGTGTGTGTGTGTGTGGGGG